TACCAGCTATCCCCTTGCTGAATACAATGACGTTTTGGGCGCTTTTTTAGTCTGTACTATAAATATAACATGGAGCTGAATAAATATAATAAACTTTTATGTGTTTTGAAATAAAAGTCTATTGAGTTCTTTGGTTGCTTTATTATACTGGGCACGGGGTGTCGATGGATTCTACTTTATTAGTGACCTGTGACATGTACTAATCACGACAAGTGTCGTGTGTCCTTGTTTTAACAAGTATAGCAGAATATGTCAGAAACCTTGAGATGAAATTAGATCCATCACAAAATTAATTTGATTGAGGGCGCACTGTTTTCCTGGTTCTGGCCAATAACCAGTAAACTATTTTTTAAAGCAGGATTTTTCCTTATAGTTTGAGCCTGTTGCATACCACTTCGGGTGTACAATTCCCTTATCAATATACAATGTCTACACTACGAGTACTGGTATTTAATGCGCCTCTACAAAAAAGCTGTTTGCCAGCTGAATGGAATGTTATCCCGATACATAACAGTTCAGAAAAATCATATCCAAAGAACTACCGTCTTACATCGTTGAAATCAATAATATGTAATATGTAAAAGACAACACAGTGTTTAGAAGACACTGCTCTTGTGAAACATCAAAACAAACCATGAATGGTCTGCTGAACTTGACAAAGGCAAACATTTAGATCTTATTTTACTGGATTTTAGAAAGGATATTGATAATGTTATGGTATTCATGAAAAACCTTGAACTTGACAAATTCTTTTTTTTTTGACAGGATACAGCGAGTGTCTGTAAACATCAAAAATTCTACTTGGCTGAATTTGATCTTGGAAAGTCCTATTTTACAAGTCATTGAAAATGACACAGTCCCCGTAAAATTTTTGAAAGCTCTCTTTGAAAGTGCTCGTCATATTCAAGTGAAGGGGTTGTCGCTAGTGTGTCCTTGAAACTTGAATACCAAGTGATGTATACAACATCAAATTCAAACATGTGTTGCGTGACGACCTCTCCGGTTTAAGACATAGCAAAAAAAAACATAGATCACAAGTGAAAGCATGTTCAAGTTATCACATTTAAACAAACAAGATCAAATTGCAAATTGAATTGACATGTACATGTATCCATTTATGACATGCTAAATATCAATGAAAATGATACATGGTGACGGAGATATAGTAATATGGCCAAAAATAAAAACAGCCGTTATTCGGCCATCTTTGATCTGATTATGAAACAAAGTGACATGTATGTGCCAAATATGAATGAAAATGAAATATAGCACTAAGGCCAAAAAGTCAAATGGCTGTCAATCGGCCATTCTTGATCCGATTTTAAAACAGGATGGGCGGATGCACGGACGATCGGAGGACATGTATCCTAACATGTATAATCTATGTACCAAGTTTGAATGAAAACTGACAAAGCATGTCCAAAATACAACATTTTCAAAAAACAAGATGGCTGCCAGTCAACTAATCGCTAAATCACTGCATGTGCATATGTCCCACATAAAGTACAAGGCACATGCAAAGAATGAACAGAATCGGTCCAAAGGATTCTGAAATATGACTCTGGAAGGACGGAC